GGCTGAGGCAAGAGAATCGCCTAAGCCCAGGAGTTGGAGGTTGCTGTGAGCTGTGTGATGCCACCAAAAAATTAAAAAAAATAAAAGCAGAAAGGTGTCACTATAATTTATAATGCAAAAGATAGCATATTAAGACAAATGCAAAAACAAACACCACAATCCAGTAATGATGATTGTACAAAAAAATTCTATTCTTCAGTTACATGCAAATTCTAGAATTATATACTATGCAAAGAATAAATTAATTTCTTTCTTTATTTTATTTAGACAGAGTCTTAAGGCTGATGCCCTGGATAGAGTGCCATGGCAATCATCACAGCTCATAGCAACCTCCAACTCCTGGGCCCAACCTATCTTGATGCCTTAGTTTTTCTGTTTTTATTAGAGATGGGGCCTTGCTATCACTCAGGATGGTTTCAAATTTGTGAGCTCAAATAATCCACCTGCTTCGGCCTCCCAGAGAGCTAGGATTAGAGGTGTGAGCCACCACATCCAACCAAATTAAGTTATTTAATTTTAAGTGGAAAAAAATGCCCCTTTGTTAGGTGATGAAACTTAAACCTATCAAAATTCAATCCTATAATGACTCACACTTCAATAACAACATGGCTGGATTGCTTTTTTTTCTTTCTTTCTTTTTTTTTTTTTTTTTTTTGAGACAGAGCTTCAAGCTGTCATCCTGGGTAGAGTGCCATGGTATCACAGCTCACAGCAACCTCCAACTCCTGGGCTCAAGCGTTTCTCCTGCCTCCACCTCCCAAATAGCTGGGACTACAGGCACCCCCACGACGCCCAGCTATTTTTTGGTTGCAGCCGTCATTGTTGTTTGGCAGATCAGGGCTGGATTTCAACCTGCCAGCTCAGGTGCCTGTGACTGGCACCTTAGCTGCTTGAGCCACAGGCGCCAGAGCCACAAGATAGAGTTTATTGATGGGAAAACTGACAAACTTGAGGAGGAATCTAAATGGGAAACCCTGGCTGGGTTGCTTTGGAAGACCTGATAATAAAAAGAAATCTATAACATGAAGTCAAAATTTCTAAGATTCTATTTCTAGCAACTCTCTTCCTTCTAGGTAATGACATGCCTATCTCCAGCCTAGTTAATCACAAGGCTGTGGATCAGACCATGAAAAATGGGGCTAGGACAAGAGGAGAAAGGAAAGGATGATTCCAGGATCCCATATATTGTCAGGAAATAGCACTTAAAAAATAAAAAAAGGGCAACGCCTGTGGCTCAAAAGAGTAGGCGGCCGGCCCCATATGCCAGAGGGGGGAGGTTCAAA